CGGCCGGCTCCTCCCGCCCCGCACCCAATCTGCGCGCCTGAGAGCTGGAGTCACGTTTGGGAGCCTACAGACGCGAGCCGATTCCTGGCGGCCGGAGTCCGCACAGCGGCGAGAGGACCACGCTACCGCACCCTGGCCGCGGTAGGGAGGGCGCCCCGCCCCGGCAGGCGATGGTCGGGCTGGGGACCGGGAGGGTCAGCGCGGCGGGGCCCGCGGGGCCGGAATGGGGGCGCGTAGTCCCCGAGCTTGTGCCGGAGCTGCCCCCGGACCCCCTGAGGTTAGGCGACGTCCCCGCAGCTTTGGCTACCGCAGAGCCCGCGCAGGTGGGGCGCGCGGGGAGGCCCAGGGCGGCCGGTTCCCAGCGCCGGAGAAGGCTCCGCTGGGGCCGCGGAAACCTGGCGGAAAAGCTCGGCCAGGTCACCCCGGGCGATTCCTGGAGCGCGCCGACCCGAGGCCACGTGCGCGGTGGCCGCTGCCCTTCCGGAGCCCGAACGCGGGCTCCCTGCCAGGACCCCCGCAGTGGTCCTCACCGCCTCCGCCCCAGCCGGACACCGCGCTTCGGAATCCGCGCTGGACCTCACCGAGGTGCCCAAGCCCGGGCTAGCTGAGACCTGAGTGGTCAGGGGGGGGCCTGTCCCTCGTGGAAGTTTTCCATCTCTTTCATGACCTCGGGCGTCTCGGGGTGCTCCAATTAGATGGCTGGCGGGAGGGCCGCGCACGGGGCTGTGAGTATGCTCACCTGCGCACTGTCCCATTCTCTTATCACTGATGACCACTGGCAGCCTCCTGCGTCTTCACCTATGCGTGGGCGGGCTGAAGAGCACTGTCTGTCGTTCCGTGGCTCTCACCTGGTGTGAGCAGCCACGCTTCTAGCTGTATTTGCAAGAGCTTGGGTGGTTGCTTGAACCCTGTAGAGTGTGATGAGCTGGCACACAGTGAGACCCAGCAAGTGAATCGTGTATTTTTACTAATAAGAGGTTCCATGGAGAGAAGTGGACGTTGGAGAATTGCCCTTTGGCGTTCATTACCCATCTCCTGATACCGCGGTTTATCGGACTTGGGAGTTTGGCTGGGAGTGGATTTATTCGAAGTTACATAGGGGAAAGGGAATAAAAGAAATTTCAAGCTGGCTATTGAAACTTTTAAGCTAATTCCACAGTTAGGGGTGTTTGTGTGTGAGCCTGCCAGGAGATGGCCATGGGGTCGTAGGGCCAGACTCAAGTCACCATTTTACCTATAGTATTTCTTAGGATGTAAGTCTTTTGAGAATTTTTCCCATGCCTGAGAACGACTTGTGCATCTGCTTAATTAACAAATTCCTAACTTATTCCACTTCCTAACATTGGGTTACAATCCTTTATAAAACATTTCAGTCACCTAGAGTTGGTAAACTTTAGGTGACACTTTCTTGACATGTAAAAAGAATGCAGCATCCATTACTGGAGGAGGAAGCTTAAGGGGGTGAAAAGGACTCATTTGGGTATCTCTTTGGGATTTATAAAGATTCTGGTTATCTTGACCCAAGTTTTACCATTTGCTAATCTTCTGAAGATGCCTTACTGGTTGTGTTTCTTTCTTTCGACATCTGAGCACCTTGAGATGTTTTTTGGCATCAATTCTCATGCGTGCATGAAAACTGGCGCATTCACAAACACAGCTCCTGAGGGGTCAAGTGCAGGTTGCTGGCTTGCCCCTACCAGTGTGTTCTGGCACTTGGGAAAGCATAGACTAGGTGAGGAGAGCTATTCATAATAGATCAGGTTAAGAATCTGATAAAAGATGTTGCTTATGAAGCAGATAACATGTGAAGCAAATGTGTGTATATAAACACAGAATTCTGCCTTTGATCTGTGGTGCTGACAGCCTGCTTGTCCTCTGGAAGTCAGCCTTGCAGAAACCTTGTGTGGAGCCAACCTCATGGAGGTGTGTGGGAATATGGGCACAACACAGGGCCTGTACTTGGCTTCATGTCCTGTCACAAACATGAACATACAAGGAGCTCCAAATTGTACCCTGAAAATTCTGTAGTCATTTCTGACCCCCATTACTAATGCTGTTCTAGAACTTACAGCCTTGCCTCTGAGCAATCTTACATATCCGGTAAATTCTCCAACACAAGCCTGGAAGGGAGTTCGTTTCTCAGTATCTCATTCCTCATTGTTAAAGTGAAGGTAACAGACAATATCTCAACTCTATCCAGCTTAAAAGGCTGTTGTGAAGACACTCTAGGTAAAGAGATAATTGTCAGAATGTCGACTTCTACTGAACAGTTCTATGCCAATAAGATAGTATTATGACATACTTCCCTTTTCTACTTCATTTTTCAGAAGCAGCTTGAGGAAAATTGGTTAAGTACCGTAAAAGTGTTGCAGAACTCTTACAACCCTTATATTTTGGTGGAAAAATCCCCCAAAATGGATACTCAGTGTTTTAAATATTCCTCCAAAATGATTGTTTGAACAAGATCAGAATTTGGCAGTGAAAAAAATACAAAAGACTTTATTGAGGGCCTCCCTGGTGGCCTAGGGGTTAAGTCTCAGCACCATCACCACTACTGCCTGAGTTTGCTCCCCTTCCTACCACTACTTCCACCCACCGCCAGCTAGGTGGCTAACCCACAGATTGCACAGCAGACCTCTTTCCTGTCTCATCTGCTGCTTCCCTCAGCAGTGTATTTCAGTAAGTTCACATGTTCTGCTCCCCACTGTGTCTCTGGTGATTACTCACACACACACACTCCACACCCCTGGCCTACACCCCAGTTCTTCTATGCAGGAATATAAATAAATAAAAATAGAAGTTTCGGGCCCTCCCTGGTGGCGCAGCGGGTTAAAGCACAGCACGGAGAATCTAAAGCCGCTTCCTCATGAGTTCGATTCCCACCTGCCCCGGAGGTGACCACATGGCGTGGCGGACCTCTCCTGACCTGCCCGCTGCTCCCCTCAGCAGTGTACTTCGTCGATCTGCCTGTTCTGCTTCTCACTCTGTCTCTGGTAAAACCTCTCACCGCCCCTGATCCTCTGGCCTGTACCCCAGTTCTGTATGCACGAATAAATAAATCTTAAAAAAATAAATAAATAAAATAAAAATTTCACTCAAAAAAAAAATGTACCCAAAGTCATTTCCTGAATTAAAAAGAGGTTTCAGTCCTATTCATCCAAAATTGAACAATGGAAGCTTGAGTTGATGATTTGAAATGTTTTTTGTTTTTTTTTAAGATTTATTTAATTGCACATAGAGCTGGGCTACAGGCCAGAGGTGCAGGGGCGGTGAAAGGACCCACCAGAGACAGGATGGGGTGCAGAACAGGCAGATGGACAAAGTACACTGTTGAGGGGAGCTGTGGGTGGGCCAAGAGAGGTCTGCCACGCCATGTGGTCACCTCCTGGACAGGTGGAGATCGAACTCATGCCGAAATGGCTTTAGCCTCTCAGTGCTGTGCTTTAACCCGCTGCGCCACCAGGAAGGGCCGATTTGAAATGTTTTAAGTAGATTTGATTCTTTAAAATTTGAAAATTCATATTTTTCAAATCTTGATAAAGTCACTGTTAAATATCCTGGAAGATACCTAACAATAAAACTATACCTAGTCCCTTGTCAAGTTTTCACCTGTTGCAACATTAGGGGAGAAAATGAAACTCTAAGGAAGTCTGTCCCTACACTCTACTCATTACCTGCCTCTTTGACCCCAAACCTTTTCCATTTCCTAGTTCTCATTTGTGCCATGATGGTAACATACTCTAGAGAACTGGAAGAAAATAGAGTGAAGAGAAATGAGCCCAACTCCTATATCAGAATCCTATAATGGGGCCCATGGGAACTTCTCCATACAAACAGGTGCAGAGGCTGTATGCTCTAAAATATGTGAACTCTTGGCAAGGCAAAGTAAAGCAATGTAAGGTGTTAATCACTAATAGCAGATTAGCTGTTACAAGGCAAGATTAGGCACCAAATGCTATGGCAAGTAAGCAGTGAGTTCCCAAGAAGAAAATAAAATACACTAAGGTGGTTAGTGAAGCTTAACAATGAGGTCTATGAGATCCTCCTTAAAATCTGCTGCTAATATAGATAAACAAAGACTTCTGGGTGATCCGTGTACAAGAAAGTGACACTCTAGAGGACCTACATTCCATATAAGTAAAAGCTGGAGATAACACTAAGAGAATGCTCCACTGTCTGGCTTCAGTCATGTAGGACACCAATAGTAAGCCCATTCCTTGGTGACACACAGTGTTGATTTTCCTTCATTTAGCATTGAGTAAGACCGATGTGTTTCCTTTCCTTTTGGAATTTACAGTTAAAGAAATAAATAAAAACTCAGGAGTGGTACGGAGAAAAAGAGGGGCTGACTGGGCTGGTGCTCTGGGGTGGTTTCTTGGACAAAGAGTAATTTAAGTCACTATATGAAAGCAGCATTGGGTTAACTTGGCAAAGAAAAATGGGGAGTGAGGAAAGCAATCTGGGGAAAGAAAAGAGCAAAGAAGGCTGTAAGGAGATGGACAGAAAACAAACCCCAGGGCTATGGAGGGGTGTGCTGATTGGATAAGGAGGGGGGTGACAGGGCCAGGGGATGACACCTCACAGGTCTTCATGATTGGATTTTAATGGGACATCATTGGCAATTACTCCAGAGGCAGGAACTGTCCAGTTTGTATTTCAAGGAGGCCTTTATGGCTGCCAGTCAGGAGAACAGAATAGAGAGACAACAGACTGAAGGTAGGAAGGCCTGATAGCAACAGTGCTGGCAGCAATACTGACAGGAAAATGGAGAGAAGTGGGGAGACTTGAGGTGTGTTTCCAAAGTAGAATTGATAGAATTTGGTATGGATTAGACATGAAAGAAGAGTTAGAAGGAGTCGATGCTTCTTCATATCTGACTCACTGCTTGCAGCGTGGTCTGTTTAGACACCCCTTTAGTAGGTGTGAGTGGTCTGTGCTTCATTACAACAGCTACGTGATGGAGGAAAAGCAGGCTTCCTTGATCCTGTTATGTTTGAGAAACACTTGATTTAAACTAGTTCATCAGTTTTATTGCAGGAATCCTCAGGGCCTTTAATATAGTAATGAACATTGAGCATCATCAAGAAAGAAGGGATATTTTATGCCACATTTCCTAAGCTTATTTGACCTTGAAACGCTTT